TTCGGGGTACCATCTTGGGGGTTCCTTTCATAAGGATTATAGTATTTGGGATCTATATTGGGGTCCCCCGATCTAGGGAAACTACCATATTTTCCGACTCGAGCATCCAGGAATAACGCGAGATTGGGAAATTGGGCCAGCTCAGCCCACGCACTGCAGTCGAAATCCTCAAGATTACTTGAGGATTTTCATTCCCCCGAACAAGCATGGAACCTCCAAATGAGCTGTAGAAACTCCTTAAAGGGGGTCTTTCAGGGGACAATATATCGGCGAAGTATAGGGAGTATTATAGGGCTTTTTAAAGGGATTCTAGGACCCCTTGTGCTTGTGGGGTTCCATGTCTGTGGGAGGGTAACTGCTTAGCATGTTTAGACATCCTGCTGTTCAGTAGGGCCACGCGTTTTTTGTGTAACTCCCATACATATATATAGCCCGCATCCTTGTACACCACCACATAACCCCAGTTTCCATTTCATTTGCCACTTTCTTGAAAGATTCTCCATTATTTCTCTAGCTTCTATATAGCTTGGTATAAGCTAGTTGGGGGGACGTAGGATGGTCTTGCCCTAAGCCCGAAACCTAACCCCAAAACCCTTAAACTCCCATGTAGGTGGCTGTCAAAATTATGGTCCCTTTTTGGATCCCAATTATAATACGGCACCTAATATTTTGGGCACCCAAATAGGGACCATAACTTTGACAACCACCCATGTAAACCCTAAACCCTGCACCCAAAACCCTAAACCCTAAACCCTAGGATCCTATAACTGCAAGCCACTGAAGGCCACAAAGGCCACTGCACAACCAGTCCCCGAACAGCGCGTGCGAGCCCAAATCCTTGGTTTAATGCACAGGATGCTCCCAGCCAGGGTTTAGGGCCCAGGAATTCTATAGGGGAGATATAGTGTTATATAGGGGTTATATAGGGATTATATAGGGGTTATATTGGGAGGATTGACGAATTAGGGTTTAAGGTTAAGGTTTAGGGTTTAGGGTTGGGAGTTCAAGTTTTAGAGTTTGGGGTTCAAGGGGACTTTGTTGTCGGGAAGGTCAAAATAAGGACTGCTGGGCCCGTGGTGCCCTTTTTTGTTTTCTGGCTCTGCAGCTCTTTGCTGTTAGCACTATCTTGGGCTTAGTATGGTACAAGCCTAAACATTCACCGATGTTGTGGTCCGAGATCTCTTGTATAAGTATTGCGTCAGGTATCTCGAAAATGATTCAGGCTTCTACCATTACAGAAATCCCTACACATGACCGCTATGTAAACTGTAAGCCCAGTTTCCATCTCATGTCCATTTTCTTTACTGTGGAAACCTAATAGACCCAAACCCTAAGCCCAGACCTCAAACCCTAATCCCTAAACCCTAAATTCACACACGGTCTGCTTAGGCCATTCCCACCCGTTACTAGGGTGGTCAGACTCTGAAGATACGCGCCACCCTTTACACCGGAACTAGGTAAGACAATGGCAGGTGCTTGTGGAGAGTGGACGTATAGGGGTTCCTCCCGAGATTGACAACATCTTCTGCTGTAGGGTGCCTGAGGATACCACTTCTTTGAGAAATTCCCAGAAGAAGACATACTGCAACTCCACATGCCCTCTGCCCTGGCAACCGGTACATGTTCGGAGATTCTAACTAATGTGTGCAAGATTGATGTCAAGCAGCGTAGTTCTGTTTAGTTTAATGACCGAACCGCTCCAGACAGCATGCTGGAGGCTTCAGGTTGACTTGTTGCTTGTCTTGTTCTCTCACGTGTGCATTTCCAAAGATGGCGTTTCGTGCCAGTGGTCAAAGCCTAAACTCCTTAAACTCCTTAAAAACCTAGCCCTAAATCCCTAAACTAAACACCCCCAAATCCCTCCTGCACTCCCCAAATTTCAAATGCCGAAGCCTTGAGGCTGCTGTCGGCTACACGTCTGCAGCCGCAGTGCCTGAGCCCTTCCAGGCTTGCAGACATGGGTGGGGTTTTAGGGTTAGGTTTTAGGGTTTAGGGTTTAGGTGTTAGGTTCTAGGGTTTAGGTTTCAGGGTTTAGGGTTTAGGGTTTAGGTTTTAGGGTCTGGGTTTTAGGGTTTAGGGTTTAGGTTTTAGGGTTTAGGTTGTAGGGTTTAGGTTTTAGGTTTCAGGGTTTCGGTTTTAGGGTTTCGGTTTTAGGGTTTAGGTTTTAGGGTTTAGGTTTTAGGGTTTAGGTTTTAGGGTTTAGGTTTTAGGGTTTCGGTTTTATGGTTTAGGGTTTCGGTTTTAGGGTTTCGGTTTTAGGGTTTCGGTTTTAGGGTTTCGGTTTTAGGGTTTAGTTTTTAGGTTTTAGAGTTTAGGTTTTAGGGTTTAGTCTTTACGGTTTAGGTTTTGGGGTTCAGGGTTTGGGGCTTACGGTTCATGGACCTTATCGTCTGCACCCCCTCAAAAGGGGACCCCTACTTCATGGAAACATCACAGAGGAGAGTTTCCCACAACCATGAGTCCTCCGCGACTGCAGCTTTTTGAGTTATGACGGTTATTAGTACTATTCTTGTTATTGCTAGTAGAATTGTTACTCCTACTCCTACTCCTGCTCCCCCTCCAGTTTCTACTACTGCTGCTGCTACTGCTGCTGCTACTGCTACTGGGCTACTGCGGGCTACTGCTACTATTGCTACAACTGCAACTACAGCTACAACTACAATTACAACTACGAATCTTGTTATTGCTACCGTTACTGCTATTCCCATTATTCTTGCTCCTTTGTAAACATCCTCATATTATGACGATAACTGTTTCGATTGTCACTATTATTGCTGTTACCACTGTTCTTATTACTACTATTACCATGAATTTCTTACGTGTTGGGAGAGTCCAAAGCAGGAAAACCTTAATCAACCCCTAATATCCCATAGTCTCTTGTCACTACGATTCCTGGATGAAGCTTGTGTTTCGTAAGATACCGTCCGGGCAAAATTCTGCTGCTTCGACTTTTTTTCATTGCCTCCCCTTGCCTTGCCCGATGCTTCCTAATCCTGACATCCCTGTTGCCCCAAGGACATCTCTAGACCTAGATCATCAAGGGCACAGGCGCAATATCTCCTTCTCCCCAGAATCCCGAACCCTAAATCCTAAAGCCCTGAACCCCAAACTCCAAAACACCCCAGAGCGTCCGCCGTGAACTTTAAACCTTTAAGCATTGAACCCTAAACCCTAAGCTCTAAACCCAAACACGTCCTAAACCTAAATCTTAAGCTCTACAGTCCCCATTTAGTAGATAGAATATATGGGGTATATGGGGATCTTATTATAGTATACCCAAAACCATATTGCATCTACTTAAGGGGGACTATAGACCCTAGCACGCCCTAAAACCCTAAACCCTGAGACCCCAGCTTGCCCCGAAGGCTCTGGTTCAGGCCTGCGGAAGCCCAGAGGACAACCAAATTAACATGGGTTAAGGCTTTAGGGTTTAGAGTTTAGGGTTTGGGCTTTAGGGTTTAGGGTTCCCCCAAAAGACATAATGTTTTTGCCCACCCCTAGTGACAGCGCCCCCACCCAATACAGCGGTATGCACTGAGGGGAGGATTCAATTTCGGGGGTTGGGGGATGAGCTTTATTAGGGGGATGTGTTTACAGCGAACGTGGAGGGAAGATTTGGGTGTATAGGAAACCCTAAAACCTAAATTTACAGGAAGGGTATAGGCTGATGTTCCTCAGTTTTGTGCGGCCTTCGTACGCTTTCGTGTTTTTTGCTCTTTGGCCCCGAGCAGTTGCTCTTTACTCTCAGCTTAAGGGCTTAGGCCTTGGCGTTTTGGGTGTGGTCTCCCTCAAACTAGCATGGGCTTCTGTAGAAGCCCCTGTTTCAAGGACCTTAGTCTGTGAGGGCTCGTTTTCATGATCCATGCTAGTTTGGAGGCGAATGGTGGTAACTTCGACGCTAGGTCTGATAGCTGCGACATTTGAACTTGTAGAGGAGCTACCTCCAAGCATTCGCAGCCATAGTAGTGTGTGCGTGTGTGTGTGTGCGTGTGATATTACGAGGAGAATATGCGCTGAGAAAGGCGGTGTGCGCAGTCATTGCAGTGCAGCAGCAAAACCTGTCCATCCGCCGCCACTGATGGTCTTCAAGCCTAAACGCTAAAACCTCCCCCACCGGGTGCGTATTTTGGGGCTCCGCCCTTATTTGCAAAGATGCCAGGAGCTCAGCTTGCACTCAAGCTTCAGAGTAAGCGCTTTCAGCCTTAAACCCGAAGCTGTGATGGCTCATGAGAAGTAGGCTTTTGGATTGGAAGTTTTCTGGGTATAGGCTGAATGAAGGTTTGAGGTGTAAGGCTTACGATTTTACGTGCAGGGCTTGGGGTAGGGCTTCAGGGTGCAAGGTCAATGTTGTGGGTTTTAGATTTAGTGGTGCGGCGTTTGGGTTCCCGTTTCTTGGGTGTCCTTATCATGGCAGTGGCCATCCTCCTTGTACTCTGAAAGCGCAGGGTGTCCACCCACAGCCCCCTAGACCAGGTTGCTGTTAAGAGAGTTAATTTGAGTTACTATTGCAAAGAAGTCACACTATGTACCAGATATCTATATATTGTTGTAACTCAGGTTGATGTCCTCGGCAGCAACCCAGTATAGTTCAAGTGGGTGAACAGCCCCTAACAATGCAGTGTCCCACTTCACTTTAGACGGATCCTTCAGAAAAGCCCTCCAGTCTCCAACTACACCTGAACTTACAAGCCCAGGTTCTATCCACCCTGAACCATACCTACAGGGGGTGGACTATCCAGACACTGGACATTGCCCTGAATAGGAAGCTAGAACGGCTTGTAAGGGACGAACGGACTTGCAACCCTTTTTAGTATCCACGGGGCTACGTGCATACAAGATCCAGCTAAGGTTCGCTATGGCTTTGCTCTCTACCGATACGGCGTGCCTCAGTGAGAAGATGTGTGCACTCTCCGTCTTCGACGTGCGACACCACTTCCACTTCCATCATCATCACCATCATCATTGCCATCATTGCCATCATAGCCATCATCATTGAGGCGATGGACCACATGCTCGCAAAAAAGCGGCTCCTCGCCACGCCCAGGCCCAAGCCCCGTAAAGGGCCTTGGAGCTTCGAGGCCCAGCTATGGGGCTTGCTGCAAACGGTGCCTTCTCCGGAGCGGAAGGAGCTCCTACAGCACCTATCCGAAAGTCAGCGTCGGGCACTGGAGCGCTGGGCTCTCCAAGCAAAGGCTGCAGCTCCTCCGGAGCTTGGGGCGGTGCCAGCTGAATGCCCAGCTGAGGGCGAGAGAGCCCGCAGAGCTCGGCGTAGGGTGAAGGCTGCTGCTTCCATGGAGCCCAAAGCAGCCGTAGCCCGGTGCCTGAGTGAGGGCAAGACAGCCTGCAAGTCAAAAGCAGGCATCCCCTTCGTATGCAGCCATCGTGGCAGGGGATCGCTTCGCTTCGATGCGCGGGTCTCCTGCTGGCCTTTCCTGCTAATCACAAAGAGGTCCGCCCACCTGCCCACGGTTCTAAGCCAGCGGGAAATACTGCTGGCAGTGCAGCACCGCTTCTTGCAGTCGCAGGATGCCGAGGCCTCCTGGCAGGCGGGAATCGGCACCCACGAGATGCAGAAGCTGAAGTGGCAGCGCTTCGTCCGTGCTGTTTCGGCAGAGTTCGAAGCTCGGCAGATGAGTCTGACCTCCGACTGTGGGATTCGCTTTGAGGCTTCTGTCCCGGCCAACTTCTTGCTTGGAAAGAGACTTCAGACTCCCCACTTCGCTGTTTCAGAAGCTGGGCTGCAAAAAGGCTACGAGGCCTGGCAGTCCTTGTACTCCGTGCACTCACGCAGCCTTGCAGAAGGAGTGCGAGGCCGCACGAATCGCTTCTCGGCGGTTGCCTACAGTGCAGAAGGCCTTCAGGAAGCTTGGCAGAAGGTCCGGAAGTCCTATGCGCAATTGTGGCAGGCAGCTGGATACAGTGCCAAGCGCTTGGAGGCGAAATTGGCCCTCTTGGAGCAACGCTTCCTGAAGGTCCACTCGAAGAAGCGGACGCAGAAGATCTCTCAGCTGGATGGCCCGGCTGTGGATCAAAAGGTGAGCAGATTTTGTAGGCTCCTGCGGCAGTGGACACTCGCCAAAGGCGGAAGATGCGCCTCTCAGAGATGCAAAGAGGCCACCAAAGGCAGGCTGCTGCGGACTAGCACAGACAAGAGTTTGCCAGCAAGCTGAGCCAAGGATCGGCAGCCGAGTTCGAAGTCAGTGGCATGTGAAAACCCCAGATGCCGATCACTTCTCATTTGCAAGCTTGCGTGATCTGCCCGGGAATTAGCTGCGACCACTGGCAGTTTTGGCATTGCAGGACATGATGCGGATGCTGTCAAATCCAGCAGTAGCAGCTGCCCTGCAGGCCAAGGCGCGGCCAAAGTAGGGTCAGTTTTTTTGGAATACAATCTGATGGCATGTTTAGGGTTTAGGATTCCCATCTTCTGGAACAAACCTAACAAGGAAGGCTGTTCCTTCAGTATCTCTAGTAGTCAGCGACTTGACTTGTGATTGTGGCTACGGCAGTCATTATGCTTGTACGACTGGTGACAAGAGCAACTTCAATAGGAATCGCTGTCTGAATCATTGGAACAGTCATGGTAATAGCAGCGTTACTCTACCCCATCAGGGCATGCACTCAAGATTGGATAGCTAGGAATGAAGCAATAGATCCCTATAGTAGTCCCTATATAACCCAAACCCATTATAGTATATAACCCATTATAGTAGTTTCCATTCTCTCTTCCATGCCTTCATTCCCAGCTAACCAAAGGTAAGTTTTAACATAGGGGTGAGTGGTTTATCATTAGGGGAGGAGAGTAGCGTCGTCACAGGAATACAACAGGGGATGCTGGAGTTGAACCCTTGGAACGCAACACCTGAAGTTTTTTGAGGGTTTAGGGTTTGCCCTAAGCCCTACTAAAGGGTCCCAAGGAATTACAAGAGAAGGTTCCTTTTTGATAGGTTTTTGATAGTATAGGGTACCCAAAATGATATTGGCGATTATCTAGGCCTTTGTACTACAGAGAGTCCCATCCATGGAGCCGACTTAATTCATAGACGAAACTTGAGTTGTAAGGGTGCAAACTCCAGAATCCTTTATGTGGATTTGTTACATCTCGAATGCTATAGTCGCTGTTATGGGTACCCTTCAACAGGGACTGCCAACTGTTGGAACCACGTACCTCCCAAACGATAGGGTCCTAGCAACTAGGATGGCAAGCAAGAGCTAGGCCACAACTTCCTCTCTCATTCTGAGCTCCTACAAGGTAAACAGCGACCTCAAACCCTCAAATCCTCAAACCCACGACCTTAGGCCATGAAACCCTAAACATCCGTAAACCCTTAACCCTGAACCCTAAACCCTTAAACCCTAAACCCTTAAACCCTAAACCCTTAAACCCTAAACCTTACATCCCCTCAATCCAAAAGCCTTGCCAACACCCTCACCGCACGGAGGTTTGAGTCAAACCAACAGAGCTCAACCCTAAACTCGCTCATGCTTGGTTGGGGATAGGAGGAATGTATCCCATCTTTTCATAATCTGCACAATCTTCCCGAAAGCCTAATCCTGATTGGGCTTATTCATGATAGGTTTCTCAATCCGAGGTTCACCCTTGTGTAGATTGTTTAGGGACAATTAGGGCTAAATGAGGCTCAACTCAGAAAATAGTATCAGGGTGTTTGGGGGCGAGGGCTGGGGGGTAGGTGAACCCAGAACCCATAGTACAACCCCAAAACCCTAAACACCTAAAACCTAAACCCGAAAACAAATTGGAACTCCACAAGGCAGCCCCTGCGCCTGCTGCCACCAAGTCAAAGGTGGAGGTGCGAGTGCGCGAGGCTGGGAAGAGGTAATGAAAGTCCAGGGTTTTGGACTCAGGGTTTAGGGTTTTGAGTTTTGAACCTAGGGTTTAGGGTTTTGGGTGAAAGAGGACAAATTAAAAGCAAGCACATTTGGAGAGAACATGGACCGTGAAATGGAATTTCCATCCAAACAGGGATTTCGAGCTGTTCGTTGGGTACTTCCCCACCCTAGCATCCAAGGGTAGAATTTCACTACAAGTGCAATATTGGGGGGGCCCAAGGTTGTAAATGTTGGGAGTTATTATGTATGGGTATCTGGTGCTTGTAGGGTTCCTTGGGAGTAATGGTGAGTGTATATGCTGGGTGTCCAGTGAAGTAGGCGTTAAAAACCGTGGGTCATGTAGGGTTGTGCAAGTTTTAGGATTTGGCGGTAAGAGCTTCCGGTAATTTCGTTGATAAGAAGCGGCCTCATTTGGGAGGGCGGATATGTGAGCTAGAGTCTGAGTCTAAACTCCTTGAAGGGGGTTATTGTGGGGATTATCTAGGGGACAATTATCGGTCTTATTCAGGTGGGATACCAGGAGTTTAGACAATGGCTCACATGGGAAACCGTCACATTTTTGGACGCGAAGGACTTTTCTCAAGCTGGCATGTGCACGTTTATTTTCTTGGGATCAAGCTTGCCACTTGTACAACCTCCAACCTTAAACCTAAACCCTAAACCCCGTGATTTCGAATCATTCGTCTTGAATTTCAGGTTCAGGGGTTCAGGAGCCCAGGAGCGCGAGGCACAGAGACCCTAGACTTTCAATGACTGAAAAGGTCTCATTAGCCCAATAACAAGGAATAACATCCCTAAAAAGTAGATTTTGAACCACTTTTTAAGTTTTACTATTCTTAATCTCCATATAGCCCCTATGAAGCCATGAATTTTGATTTTGTAGGGCCCCCAATCCTTCCCAAGAAGTTGTCCAGCTTCCTGCGCTGCCGAAGGAAGGCTCCCTAAGCACGCTCAAGAGTGCCGTGTCCTGATGAAAGGAACCCCACGCGGTTTAGGGTTGGGGTTTGGTCTTAAGGTTTACGGTTTGGGTTTAGGGTTAAGGGTTTAGGCACCAGAAGCATCAATGGTATTTGAAACTGCCTATGCTTTTTACGAGCTCGATTCACACACACCTTGAATCATGCTTCTCGGCCTTGGAAGTACCCAAAAAGGAAACTGTAGAAGCCTAAATAACTACCAACGTTATCCCCTCATACTCCCTATATACTCGCAAGATAATATACCCTCAAAGCCGCTTTTCTTATTAGATAGGCCCCTGTATTACATCGTCTTTTAGGAGGGCCCCCCCCATCCTGTAATAGTGATATAAATATAAGAAGACCTTAATATAATCACTATTATCCCTTATGGTCACTACTACTGGGTGGGGGGGGGGGTCTACCTAAACTATCTTTGTGAAGTATGTGATGCACTGAGCTAGCCACCACGGATGCTTACTGCTATTTCTCATATTATTGCTATTGCGACCACTGTAGAAGCCTGAGTAACCCTTGTCTTTAAATATCGTGAAATGCACCTCTAGCTTGTTACATTACCAAAATAATTTGGAATCAGACGGAAAACAAAATGGAACATGAAGTGGAGACCAAGGTTGTCGAGGGGTCTATAGGGATAGCTACCAATGCTATGGTCTTGGATTCCTGATATATCATAGTAGAAGGTACCTCAAGCAGACCCCAACATGGTAAAGATAATTATTTATGATTAGTGCCTGCCGGCTGAGCGAAGCGACCTCGCTAGTTGATGCTTGGCAGGAAGAAGGCGCGGTGGTGAACAAAAACTATCCGTTTGGCCCGAACCCTAACGTATATAACCCCTATATAATCCCTATATAACCCCTTATAATCCCTATATAACCCCTATATAATCCCATGTAACCCTATATAATCCCGATATAATGCCTATAACGCCCCGAACCCTTGGAATCCAAAACTCTGAACCCTGTTTCCGAAATCGGATTTTCTGATCCTAGACCCCAAACCCTGACGCTACCCCCGGCCCCTAAACCTTAAACCCTAAATCCTAAACCCTCAAGCCCATACAAACTTACCATTACTTGGGGTTATGAAATTTCCTTAACTTCAAAATTTCAAGCTCAAAATGCCCCCCCCCCCATCCACAAGCAACTGTAATAAACCCTAAACCCTACCCCCAGCCCCCATGACGCAGGCTGGTGATGAGGCAGGCGCCTATCGCCGCGTTGTTCTTCCAGTGGAGGGTCCAGGCGGCATCGGGTTGAAGGTTTAGGGTTTAGGGTTTAGGGTTTAGGGTTTACCTTCAAAGGAGTTCATTCTAGGGATGTCGGGTTAAGGGATTATGTAATTGTGTAGGATCTAAGGATCATAGAAGGTTCAGGGATTACATGGGGTTAGGCTTCAGGTAGAGAGTGAGGTCTAGGGTCTTATGCTTCAGTCTTGCGGATTAAGGATGTAGGGTTGGTGTTCAGTTCAGGTTTAAGGGTTTCGGATTTGGGGTTGAGAGCATGTGTTCCACAACTCCTAAAATCTGTAAATAGCGGGGGGGATGCAGGTTTTCCATTGACAGGAGCATTTTAAGTGAGAATCGGCCAACATGAAGAGCCCATACAATTCCCATTGGGTAAGTCGCAAAGTCCCAGATGTAACACCCGGGACCATGAAAGCCCAAACCACACCTGAGGCCCTCCAACGTGGTGCACATAAGGTTGTTTCCCTAAATAGGGGAACCCTAATGTCGACCCCAAATACTATAGTTCGTACTATAGGGATCTTCAACAGGGTGCACCTAATTTTGGGAAAGCCCCAACCTGTCCGGCAATTCACTGCCTGCCCGTCTGAAGCCAATGGCCCGTGACGTGTCTCCGAAGGAGTAGTAATCGCTCGCTAGTCTTCAAGCTAGAGTAAGAACAATGTTCTCCGCTTGGTTGCAGTGTCTTGGAGGGAGAACATGGTCCTATTGGCTTCAACCACAAACACACCCTTCAAGTGTAGGATCTTCACTATGACGACGCCTAGAGTAGACATACATTGCCGATGCTCTTAGCATTTAAGTGAGGCAGCCTCTGTCAAACAAGCGTCAGATGCCCACCCCACGCTGTCTTTTGGAAGGGCTCCATATGAGCCACTGTCAATATTATTGTTACCAGGGGACTATTAAGAATGGATATAGTATAGTTCCGAGTATATTCCCTAATAGGCGCCGATGTCCATTAATTATTTGGGAAATGTTGACTCTACCTCACGTCAGGTTCAACGTTAGTTTAGCCTAGTTCCCACAAATAGGCGGACCCGGACCCCACTCTACACCCCAAATAGTATATCTTTTTTTTATGGGGGCCCCCAAAACGGGACCCCGAATGGTCGAACCCTTCCCACATCTGGCTCCTCAAGCTCTAAGCCCTAAACCCTAAAGCCTAAACCCTAAGCCTGAACATGGGTGCAGATGGAGAATGGGCGCTGAAAAAAACGTAAGCCCTTCTGCTTGACGGCTCCACTGATCCAGGTGCAAGTGCCCCAACATTTGCACAGGCAGACCGGGGCTTTGTAGAATTCTTACCCTGGGGTCCCTGTAAAGGAAATTATATGTACCATAGTCTAACTAAAGGGGTGGTGGGGTTGGGGTTTAGAGTCTACACTCCCTCAAGGGGGTTATAGGGCTTAGGGTTTAAGGTTTGGAGTCTAAAGCTCCTTAAAGGGGGTTATAAACGGGGTTCTATAGGGGTCTACCTCAGGGGTTACTTAGGGGGATACTCAGAGTCTAGAGTATGGCTCATATAGTGGTTATCTGGGTGTACTGGAACAGAACGTGGAGATTTCAATGTAGAATTTTGGGATGGTTTTGGGGTGAATTCTTCCAAGAATAGAGAATCCCATGGAAAGTAACATGGAAAATGACATGGACACAGTGATAAAATATTCGTATTACATGATTTTCTCGCCTCTGGTTAGCAGAGCCCAGTCCTTCATTCCTGGTAAGAAGGAGGCATTGTCTAGGGTTAAGGGTTTAGGGTTGTGAATGGGACTTGTAATGGCAAGCACCTCTGATATAAGGGAGTAGAATACAGACAGCCATGGAGTCTTTTTGGGGCAAGACTCATCGGAAAGAAGGCTCGGATTCACTAAGCCCTAAACCCTAACTCCTATTCGGGCCTACAGGTCTCGGGGCCTCGGAGGCTTAAAAGCTAGACCTTCAAACTCTTTCGCCCTAAACCTCCAGCTTGCTGAAGGGCAAAAGGATTTCCAGGAAGCCCACGCAGCCCTTGTAATATGCTCCCAGTCTCCCTGGGCACCCTTCTGGGAACTCCTTACCTCTAACGCTAAACCTTAAGCCCGTGACCCTAAACTCTAGACTGAAATTTGGGTTCGGAACTAAGCCGTGAACCCTAAACTGAATTTTGATGGGATTAAGTCGGTGCTGGGCTTGACCTTCTGGCGTACCTTGACCCCCCAAGGATCTGAAAATAGTTGCACTCAGATAGAAGTGGGTGACTTTCTGTAAAAAGGGGGCCCTATCTCCCAAGATAGACCCTCAAATACAAGGATCCTAAATGTAGGGACCGACAAAAGGGACCCCGAAATTTCTCGAAACCCCCATCTTCTGGGCCCATACAAGGGGATCCAAGTCTTGAGATATTCTCAGGGTGTTGGTAGGGCTTCTCCTGTTGTCGCATCAACCCTAAACCCTTTAACCCTGAACCGCATCATGCCAGGCTGGGTGAAGTGAAGAAGATCCTTGTAATCTTGGAACTACCTTCCTGCCAGAATCTACCACTTGCCCACTGATCCGTGGTTCCCCAAAACAGCAGCCGAAAAATATGCAAAAGCTCTGATAACTGCACATGCTAATTCTCTGAAGGGATCCAGTTTTTTCAGGTTGAAAGCCGAGTGGCGGAGAAGTTTGCATCCAAGCGGGATGCAGCCGGAAAAGAGGCCTGGATGGGATTGCCTCTGGGCTTAGGGTTTAGGGTTTAGGGTTTAGGGTGACAGGAAAGCCAACGGTCACTCTACATGAGAGAACGCTAGAGTAGTAATCTGCAAAACAGCGAGCGTAGTGTAGGTGAAGATTCGCCCTAAACCCTAAGCCCTCTACAAAACTACCTGACCGTAGATCATGTGATCCAGCGCTGCTTGCAACTCTCCTGTTCTGCAGACCGGTAGTAAGTTGTAAGTTGAATTTCAGGTCCTCAGATTCCAGTGGCGGGTCAAAGGTAGGGTTTTAGGGTTTATATGAGGGTTGTATATAGGGGTTATGTAGGGATAATGGAAAAGAAAATGGAAACTACTATACTATTATAGTTGTTATATATTTTGGGTTCAGGGGTTTAGGGTTTAGGGGTTTAGGGTCAAAGTAGGCTTTCCTCGTGATCTTGTGATTTTTAACTGAGATCTGAATCTTGCTTCGCTTTACCACAACAAGCGGCTAGTGTATAAAAGCTTCAAGATCTGGTGTCCCCGTGTCTCATGTAAGAGAACTAACAACGTCAAGAGGATGTCCGCTATACCTCCGAGCCTAGTAATTATACAGACCCCCCAAAATCCACACCAAGCTTTGGAAAGCCTCTTTTGGTCGATAGTTTCGCATAGTTTGCATTGCTTCACAACGTTCAACAAGTATCGCTATGAAGCTTGCTAGCGGGTCCACTTTTAGGACTCCCAATCATGAGGTTGCATTGCTTTCCGGCAGATAATTGGTCCTTTGGGGTCCCCATCTTGGAGGAAGCAGGAGTCTGCGTAGCTCGCCCAGCCCCTTCGACTCCCTTTCCACCCATGTAGCCTCAAAGGAAGAAGGGTTTGTGCGTCTCTTCTGCATTTGGGGGTTTTCGGGAGTAATGGGTCCTTTACAGTGATAAGAACTATCTGATATTTGGGTTTATATTCCAGCCCCCTATTTCCCGAAACTTTTGTTTTTGTCAGGGGCACCTTTGCAGTGCCACAGCATGTCCCGCTCCGACGCATTGGTCTGGATAGAACTAGGTCCTCTCTTATCAATCTTATCAGAACTGATACCTAGGAAAAAGGCCGACTAAGAGCCTCTTGTATTGCAGTTTCTCCAATATGCTGTATATAGTACCGGTCCTGATGTTTTTAAAAGGTAAGCACTATGAACCCTAAACTGTTCAGGGAACATTTGTCCTCCAGCCTTGGTCGGGGCGCAAGGTTGTCTTCGATGCAGGCACTTACTCTTGCTCAAAGAGCACCTCACATGGAGCTCTTACTGTAGGCTCTTAGGACCTTTTAAATGGACGGACCAGTTCAGGATCGGCAAGAAGTCCACCTGGGCCTTTCGGATGCTGTTGGCAATGTTTACACATTTTCTGAGTGGTTCGGATGCGTCACAAAGCTTCTTGATTTTTTTTTTTCCCGGGCTTCGGGGTGGCCATCCTTGTGACTGTTGTAGTTATTGCTGCCTCAAAGCCGCCATCCTTGTAACTGTCGTCACTTGCAGCCCCTCATGTTTTCGTCGCGCTTCAAAGGTTCACAGGGATCCCTGTGGTCCTCATCGCGATCCTGGCAACGGTCTTTATTTTCAAAACCGTGTATTGTTGTCGCGCGTCAAAAGTAGTTACAGTCACAGGAGTCGGGGCGGTCCGAATTCCTTCTATAGTATCACACCATGAACCGTCTATGTAAACCTTCTGTGAACCGTTGATAAACCCTCTATGAACACAAAACTCTCCATTATAACCCCTCCATCAACTGACTGGGGGTTAGTGTAGGGAATGAGAGAATACAATCCGTTTTTCCCTTATTCCCTACTAACCCAGTAATTCATTCTAATGTAAACCACAAGTCGCAGACCACGACGCTGGGTGTGGGGGGGAGGAACCATGGGGGAGCAGGGGGAAGGCCGTGCCCGGATCCTGTATCCCTATATGCCCTTGCATTTCTTTTTTCTATCCCTGTTTATCCCCATATACCCCGAAACCCTAAACCCTAAACCCTAACCCCTTTGGCTCAAGCCATTTTGGCTCAAGGCCCGAGTTAGTCTACTGTGTTGTGCTGTGCCTGCCCCCCTGTACAACATCCAGGGTGTCTCTGTTTGTCCTACGCGTGGACGTGCTGAAGGTTGTCTTCTAGCTGCAGGGGGAGTTTGGTTCACGAGGGTGACTGGCGATCCACAGGCCTTTGACCCAGCCCTGCGCTTCCTGTACGGAGGGGTTCACTACGAGGGTGCGGTGAAGACGCTGGGGGCCTAGGACTTTACTGCGGGCTTCGAGGGCATTTGTTTGCCAGGGTTGGCAGAGATGCCGTCACCTAGAAAAACCGTCCCTGAGGGATCTGACAGTGAGTTGGAGGAAGCTAAGGGCTCGAAGAAATCAAGAAAGAGTGTTGAAACTTCCTCTGACCGGGTTGTTCTGGAGATGAGCACCCTGAGGCTCCTACTACAGGAACAGTCGGAAGGCCTGCTTGCAGCACACGATAAGCAACTGGACAGAGCTGTGAAGGACATGGAGGCGAAGCAGGAGGCAATGTTCCGCACCTTGCACGGCCGGCATGGACCATACAGCTGATAAGGTAGACAAGGTTGAATTGAAAGTCGAAGAACTTGAGAAGCGCCTGGCCAAAATGGAACAGGGTGGGTCGACTACAGCTGGATCGGAAGCTGCTAGGCCGGGGCGTCAGACGCTTGTGTTTGGCGGGTGGCAGACCCAAACCCGAAGACAGGTGATACTCAGAGACCTTGACCGTGCCTTAGGCCAGGCGAATGTGAAATCGCAGCTGGATGATGATCCTTTCACAACGGGTGCCAGACGTACGGTTTCCTGCTGCAACTTCTACATGCGGTCTGGTGAGAACGAGGCACTCCTCAAACGAAGAATGTTTAGTGTCATCCAGGCTTTCAATGCCAACACCTACCACACCGAAAGAGGGAAAAGAATCTGGGTCTCCTTTAGCAAAACTAAGGAGGAGAGATTGCGTGGAGCCCATGCGGCTTGGACGAAGCGAATCCTCCAGGAGCTGCGGATAGATCTGCAGCACGCGTCGCTCGACTTGGAGTATGGCACAGCCTCTGCTTGGTTGGAGGACAGCAAGATTGCGGGTCTACAGGCGCTTGAGTCCCAGGATAAAGTGTATGTTGATGACGGGAACCCGGAGAAACCCTATTTGCACCTGTCAGCGATTGCACGTGAACTGGGCATTTCCGTGAGTGAGCTTCAGCAGGCGGTTGAAAAGACAAAGCGCTGACAGCAAGAACTTACGGAACCACCAGCTGGATATCGCCTCGTGGAACCTAGGAGGGACGGCTCTTCATCAGGTGCCGATTGCGTTGAGTCAGGTTTTGCCAATGCCTCGGCCCCAGGGAGTGGAGCTTGACGATACATGCCCAAAGGACATGATCATAGGTCTCCAAGAGTTGCCGCGCACGGCTGCTGGTTGGAAAACACGTGATCATGAACAGTGGACGGTGATTGAGCATAGGGATAATGAGGAATGGCGAGGGTCAGGTGTCATGTTTCGAAAGGATAGATGGACTGTCACGCGGAGGACAGCCTGCAACAAGGGAATTTGGATCCGACTTAAGAATGTGCATAGCGGTATGCAAGTTTGGATGGGCAGTATGCACTTCACTCAATCATGGACGAGTGGCGCAGCCTACAGTGGTGGAACAGGGAAAAATCCGACCCCCAAGGTATTCGGCACCCCGCCAGATTCCACGCCAAGTTGATGAGCATGGAGAAGGCCATGGACGAGGCAGCGCAGGGTGAGTGGAGGGTTGTCGCACAACGCAGGGATGTCTGGAAGGGCAGATTGCAAGGGTTTCTTGCCAAAATGGACCTCCCGTGGGCATCAGGGAGACAGACCATGCTTGAGCTGTAAGCCAGGGCTATTGTGGGGAACCAGTGAAGCATGCAAATGCTGAGAGTTTTCTGCTGCTAGCCTCAGCCGTGAGCTACAAGACAATGAAAATTTTGCGCGCAATGTTCCAGCGAATGTGGACTTTTGGTCTGCGTGCTTCCATGTGTGTTGGTGCACTTGCTGCTGGGCACGTCCTGGGGTTATTTGATCCAGATGGCGCAGCAGGCGCCACGAGCCCGAAGCCAAAACACCCTCTTGAAGTACTACCTGACCCGAGTATGGTTGACCTCCCCATCCAGGGCTTGATTCCGAACAAGCTTCAACAGCAAGACCAAGTACATGAAGGCCAGATGTTCCCCCTCAATTACCCGATTCGGGGCCAGAACAACAAGGTGCCCGAAGTACCACTGGACCTCAATGTGGTCGACATCCCCATCCAAGTCTTGATTGAGGACAAGCGTCCACAGCAAGACCGAGTACACGAAGGTGTCGTGGACCCCCTGGATGACCCGATTCAGGACCAGATGAAGGAGATGGCTGGTGCCGACATCGCTGGCATGGGCCCGATTCAGGGCGCGAAGGGTTGGAAGATGTGGCCTAAAACCTGAGCTTGGAAGAGGACACAATTGTGATGATGCAGGCAGCTCCGGGGGCAGCTTCAGTGAGGACCAGCTGGATGGAATAGTGGAGGAGATACATGCAAAAATCCGACGAGTTCGAAGGGACGATCCCCGAAAGGCGAGGAATGTGGTTTTCCACCTGCTCAAGTACGTGGGCAGGCGACTCAAAAGCAAATCTGGAAGAGATTGAGGGCGAAGAGCCGGTCGGCAGCTAAGGCGGCCAAGAAGCAGGAGGAAAGGCAAGCGTGGTGCATGACGACCCGGGTATGGAGGTCAAGTCCTTCAGTGATGTTGAGCTGGCCGATGAGGCAAGAGCCAGTGGAAGCCGGGACGCACTACAAGACAGGGAAGCTGAATGCGATGGAGGCCCTCCCCAGCAAACAAGGGAAGAAGATGACACCAGCCTCATGCAGTCTGCAAAACCACCCTGGAGGCGAGGTCATAGAGGACACTGGGAAGACGACCGCCGCAGAAGAAGGACGTCCCATAGGGAGAAAAGGACGCGGAGCGCATCTAGGGAGAAGAAAGGCAAGGCAAAGGGCAAGGGTGTCAGGCCCACCAAGAGAGAGGAAAGACCAGTCAACAGGTGGTTGTGCTGGACATCTAGAGGGTGGATACGGGGTACCTCGTCGTCAGCAAGGAGGAAGCTCCATTTACCGCAGAAGCAGCGATTCGCTTGTGGCGGGACCTGCTGGGCTTCACAGCGGAAAAAGAGAGAAGTGGATCGGCACCCATGGGATTACCGACCTACATGGTACAGAATTTGGAGGCAGCCCTCTCTGAGCTCCACATGGAAGAGGTCAACATCATGATGACGTCGTTGGTACAGGTTCAATCCTTGGTAATGGCCCAGGTGTCACAAGCAGTGCAAGAGCGAATCCGCGAACTGGCGGTCCCGGAAACACCCACACCAGCCAGGCGTGAAGAAGAACCGGAGTGGCCACTTGATGAGGATGATGAGTGCTTAATGCAAAAGTCTATGATGGTGGCCACCGGGACAACGGCATTGGGTCCTTTGGCTTCTGGCTTCAAAAAATGACTGAAGAGCTCTCGGAGATGGACGAGAGGGGGCGTGTTGTGTGCTCCGAAATCCTCAGAGGTCATTTGTCGGCGAGATACGGCGCCACAATGGCAAGCAGGAGGTGCATGGGAGAAAGGGCGAGAAGCCTGGAAGCTCTGGTAGTTGCCTTCCAGGGACCGGAGACAACGGAGTCTGAGATGTGTGAGAGAACGGATGACAAGATGTGGGTGGCAAAATGGTGGAACGTCCTCATGCCGGGAATGCGCCAAGAAGAGCCACTTGCTGCACGTGCTGAAGAACACAGAGCAAGGGCTAGGGCGAGCACGGACACCTTGGAGGAAACCCAGGACACCATCCACACGGTTAGCTCGGCACAGGATGGAGATCCGGACCCTCAGAAAGGCCGACATGATGACTCGGACCCCGGGGAAATGGAACGAAGGATCAAAGAGGAAATCGAGCACGAACGTGAAGCAGACCTCCAACACCAGCTGGCGGAGTACGAGCAGAACCTCAAGGATGAAGAACAAGAAGACTTGGCAAGGCTGGAGGACTATGAGGCGGCTGTGGCTGCCGAAGCCGCCCAACAATGGGATGATTGGGCTATGGAGTCGGAAATGCGCTTGAGGGACGAAGGGCTTCCTGCCAAAAGGCCAAGACTACGAGTGGTGCTACAACATCACGAAGCCGATGGAGGCGTCTCTCAACAACGAGAGCTGCTCATGCCACTTGGCTTTGGAGGTACTGTGACGCTTGGTTTTCAAGTTGAAGGGGGAGATAGCTTGGTTGAACAGGGATTGCGAGCTGGGCAAGAGGGAAGCTGTGGGCACCGGGGACGTCAAAATGAGCTGTTGGCCAAATGAGGGTCGAGTACCAGTGAACATATACCACGTGGGGTCTACCTTGTCATGGCGCGGATGGTGGAGATACTGTGAGTGCTGGATCAAGTAGTACTGAGAGGGTTGGTCAGGTTGCGAGCCCACCTAGACGCGAAACTGCTGAGGGTGATATGGCTAGGAACGTGTCCAGTGTGGTTACTCAGCCTTCTGACGTGGCACTTTTCCTGAGCAGTTCGCGAGGAGCCTTGTTGTACCAGAACTGGGCTAGTGGATTGATCTCGGATGCCAGGGTCGTACGTATGGCTGGGGCCCTTGTTTTGGAGGCGTTTCAAACGCAGAAGATTTTCCTGGCAGCAATGCACCAATGAGGGCCGAGGGACGCCTGCTCATGTTGAGCTTTACGAGCCATGCGGTGAGTAAAAGAGGCGCTTAAAAAAAACCCTAAACCCTAAACCCGAAACCCTAAACCCTAAAACCCGCTTACAGGGCACCTGGGACCGAAGCCCAAGGTCCGCCACCAGGGCTTACGCTTGGCGGAACAGTATCCCAAGCTGTTGAGACGCCACGACGCCAGGTGCAAGGGTCTTAGGGCCTAGGGTTTAGGGGGGTATATGGGGCTTTAGGGTTCTTTGTTTATAGTCTCCCTTAAGTAGATAGAATATGGGGCATATGGGGATCTTATTATAATATGCCCAATGCCGGATTCTATCTACTTAAGGGGGACTATAGGCTGAAGGTTTGCAAACTTAGGGATTAGAGTTTAGGGTTGCATTTATTGAGGCTTAGGGGTTAGGGTCTAGGTTCGGATGTACGGTTTAAGGTTCAGAGTCCAAGGCTTCGTGTCTTGGGCTTTGCTCCCGATGGTTAAGCCAGGAGAGGAAGACTCAGCGAGAATTTTGAATGGGGTTTTAGGGAAC